GTCATCCTTCTCCTACGATTTTTTTGTCACTACAGTTGAAAATGATCAACAATTTGATCCTATTAACTATTAAAATATCAAATTAACATTCCAAAGACATTTTTTTTTTTTTTTAAAAGGAAATTTTAGTGGTATATGGTCAGCTTACACGAGCAATATTTGTTTACAAATACTGAAGATGTCAATATAGATTGTATTGTATTTGACATTTTGCAGGGTTTAACCATGGGATTCGACGTTCTGTTGGAGGTCTAGCCACAATTCTGGGGCCACTGTGGGCAGCAGGCTTAACACAAAATCTATATATAATGTTGGGTGTCATGATGGGTCTGCTCCTTCTGATCACAGTAAGACACAGTATTTTCTCTGCCTGCTTATTACGTCTTATGCATAGATTTATTTTTATTTAAATTTTTATCACAACCTTTTACATGGTATTTATACTTTTATTGTATAGAGTTTACTGTAAAGGTGATTGCCAGGACAGTTTACCAACAATGCATTTATTGGGTAATTATAATATTGAGTACATTTCCTCAGCACGTAGTTTCTGTGTGCTTCTGTACTTTAATTTGTTTGCTTAGATATAATATTAACACACCAATAGACTGTTTTAGACATTTAATGGGAATTCCTGACTTCCTGCCTGTAAAAGTCGTATTTGTGTACAGTTATCATACATTCTTTTCTTTGTAACGGCAAATTCTGGAACCTTGTATATCGGCACAACAAGTGATGCGTCCCAATATATCGATATAGGCATCCATATCAAATCTGTTGGGTCTTACGCACACCTGTGTGGTCTGATACAATGCGTTAACATTTTTAATGGGCTCCGCCACGGACCAAAAAAGACACCGGCACCATTTTTGCCAATGCATTGTGGTATGCAGCATCGCAGATATGTTGCTTTAGTACAATGGGGCACCATTCACAATAAATGGCACCTCCTGGCAGTAATGCATGCTTGACATGCTACTGTGCCTTGCGGTTAGTTTGACTTCTTATTCTTAAAGTGATGGTTGCCTAGATGTCATTCTAGTGAGTCACTAACCCAGGATTTAGATAAGGACTTTTCTTTGAATTTCCTGATTCTTATAATTGTTCTGGGTCAGTGACTTAGGACATATTGAATCTAAAGTCAGACTAATAGGCAGCCACTTCATATTTTCAGAAGTAGGCCAATTGTACAAGCTGTTGTGCTTTTGTCAAGAAAGGATTATTTTAACCACTTCAGGACCACAATTTGTATATAAACGGTGCCGTCCTGAAGTGGTGGCCGTGTGAGAGTCGGAGTAGGAGCATTATTTTTATTAGTGCAATCACTCACTGTTTACTCTAATTTGATGGACATTATGGTTCCTAAAGCCTTTATGGGCAATTTGGGGTATTGCAGTTTTTTTTGCCATTTCAGGGCTACTCGCACTTTTGAGGCTCGACATGTTTGGTATCTATTTATTCGATACAACACCATATTTTATCAAACATGGGTGTTGTACTCTGTGCACATGAAAATTAATATTCGTGTATTCTTTCTTAAAAGTAACATTTTGTTAAACATTTGCATAAAAATTGCATTTCACTTTTTTTTTTTTTTATTCTACACAGTGTCACAGTGTTAAGCAGTTTTGTAGCCAATGTTTTTCATGCGTGTTCAACAAGTTTTAAAAATTTATCCGGGGGCAAGATGGTTAAAGATTTCTGAACCGCCTGCACGTCATGTCAGTCTCAGATCTGCCAGTGTATGGCCAGCTTTACGTAGGATTGCAGTTTACACACCCAATTCATTCAGGAGAACTTGTTGCACTTGTTTTTGGTATGTGCATAAGATCTGCTGTCTTCCGTCAAAATTGTAACCAGAAAACAGAATGACAGTGAAATATAAGAAAAAGCTACTAGAAGGGGAAATGTTAGATATGTATCTTGTATATTCTTTTATATGGATACTAGATGTTCTTCCTTTAAAATGTCTTAATACTCAATGTTTTATTTAGATACGAACATGGGATGCATTTATCCATTGATATTGTCTATTTACAGATAATGTTCAGCTTGTCATACAAGTACCTTGTGGAACCAGCCCCATCGGAGACTGAAACGTCATGAAAAAATAAGGAAACTTTCTATGAATCAGAAGTGCTCTGAGATTTGTTTTTATCCATTTATCATGGATAACTAGTTGTTAAAAGCAAGCATTGTGATGGGTGGAGGCTCTAAACAGAAAGCTATCTGCTTGCTTTCACCTATGTGAAATTAAAAATGTGTGATTCCTTTAATTCTCTGTGATCATCCTGAGTGGAGACATAATAAGTTCACAAAGTTCTGTGGCTTTCCCTAGTTTTTTGCCATTAACACCATACAGTAATGGACATCTTTGTAGTATGTTGTCTCTCAGAGTTAGAAGCCAGTAATACAATCTAAAATGCAGGTTACAGATGGCCGGTGTTTGCAGTTGGGAGGTGAATTTCAATATGGGGAAGCAAGCTTTCTCCGTGCAGTAGTGGCAGAAAAAAGAAAGGAAAGTTGGGTATCACACTAATTAAAGGAGTTGTAAAGTCCCAGCATATACTCTCCTGTTATAACATCAGCATTGTAATAAGAATACATACTAGAGTTGTTTTTCATAATGCAATCAAAGCTTACTTGAAAAAATCCCTTTCATATAGCTAGTGCTGCTTTCTGTCTGCCCATCACTTTCAACAACTTGCTGTATTCCCAGTGTACTTTGCATTTCTTTCCCTGCAGCTTGATGTGATGCAATCTTGATTTCTCAAGACTACATAACCCATCATGCATTGCTTCCAGCAAGCAATGATAATGTTATATTGTTCAGACGTTATGTTGTAGTTCAGAAGTCAGACTCTGTGAGAGTGGTGACACAAGGAAGTACATATTCACAGGACTGTGTGAAATAGTTTCAGTGCATTGAGGAAGTACATCCTATGGGCATCTTCAATAAGTAAGTTTTACAAACTTCTGGAGGGATATGGATATTAGGCATGAGATAGAACTTATGAAAAATCAGTATAAAAATATTTTTAGTTTTTGACCATAGCTATCCTTTAAGGTGGAGAGGATGTAGTCCAGCAACAGATGCAGGTTCTGCATGCCCGTAAGGCACTCTTTCTTCATTGTAAAGCATGATGGTGGTTACTGGCCATAGAAACGGGCAAAACATTAGTTATGAAATAATGTGATCGGTAAGACATTTGTTGTACGATGAATGTGGATTCTGGGAACACTGAAAACTCCTTAATGAAAGATATATATTCTGATGACACATGTTCAATCATTTTCCAATGTTCCTATATCTTTACATCTTTGTTTTAATGGGAAACCCAATATCATGCAACTTAGACTTCTATGTGTCCCAGATGATCTGTTCTTTTTTGAACATCTTCCCAAACTTACAGCCACCACCTTAGACTCACAATGTAACAGAGATTTTCCATAAGACTTCTAAGGGTCCAGTCCAGTTGCTCTGCCTGGTTATATAGGACAGGGGAAAAAAGATATGTGTAATTTATACACATCACTCCACACAGCATTGATCACCTCTTCTGAACCAGTCCTCAGTTTACCAATTAGTGTGGCTTTGGAAATCCCATGTTTTGATCAGAACTACCACCCACCACCACCTCTCACAGTCCTGAGGTTTTCAAGTTTGGAATCGCAACAACTGTAAAACAAGCTTGGTCACTATGGGACTGCTTCATTTCACTGATTTGACCACAGTGTAACATAAGCAGCAATGGGGTAGGGGTCCTAGTTTATTTACATTGAGGATTCCCAGTTGACAGATTTCCAATTTTCTCGGAAATCATATTACAGTAGCTCTTTCCTGCCCAGTGGGTGCCATTTCATTTTTACTTATTTATTAAATTTGTTAATAAATGAAAAATGTTCCCAACAGGTAAATGTTGTATAACATTTTCTGTGTAAAATACCCCCCCACCCACTATATATATATATATATACACACAAACAAACACACACAAACACACACACACACACACACACACACACACACACACACACACACAGTGTTTCTCAACCTTTTTCATTCACGGCACACTTTAAAATTATTCAGAATCTTGAGGCACCCCAGTCTAAGGGGAACCCCACGCAGACGCACTCAAAAAAGTGGGTTTCTCCCTTCACATCGATCTGCCCAATTCAAATCAAGATTCCCGCACTTCACATCAAAGTCATTCTTCGCATCAGTAGTCCCACTTTCACTTTAGAGTCCCCCCCTTTCACATCAGAGTTCCCCCTTTACACATCGGTCTTCATTCCTCCCTTCACATCACTGCCCCACTACCACAAAATGTTACGGCACCCCTGAGAAGGCACTCCAGTGCGTCATGGCACCCTGGTGGAGAAAGGCTGCCTTATACTCACCTGTCCAGAGTGCTCCCCAGCCACTCCTTCCTCTGCCACAGCTGCCACCAAAATTGTCATTGTCCACTGGTGTTGGAGTTCAGAAGGAGCAGGGATTTCCAAACGTGTGTTGGCCTGAGCACTGAATCATGGGAAGGTCACATTTTTCTCACATACCCAAAAGCACTGGGTATTTTGCAGTGACAGCCACTAAAAAGAAGCATTGAGGAAGGACTGGAGAGGTGTATCTAAATGTGGCATAGAATATCATAAGTTATGTTTGAAGGACACTTGTCATGATGGAAACACAGGGTTGTCCAGAGTAATTTTTTTGAGCAAATTCTGGTTGCCTGGCTGTTGTGCTGACCCACTCACTTCACTGCTTCCTGACTCAAAATATATACTGTACGTAAGGAAAGTCAGAGAAGGGTAAGACTTCCTGATCTGCATACTTTTTTGGATCAGTGACTCAACTGTTAAACCTAGTGGGTCAGAAAAACAGCTAGGCAGTTAAAAGAGCTGTCAAACCTGAAAACCAACTACTGAAATATATTTTTCCCCTTTTGGCACTGTCTGCAATAAACATACATGCTTGTCTATAGGTACCTTGATTGTATAAAGGTGTATAGTCTTGTAACATTCTAATATTTATTTGTGAAATAAGTATTATCATGTTTACTAGAATGCAAACCTCAGGTCAAACCTATCAGCTTTACTGACATTTAGATGTATTTGTCCCACTGAAGACTTTTTGTAGAGAAAATGAAACCAGTTAAGCAAAAGCACACACACTCTCTAGATAGTTTGAATCAAAGGATACTTGAATATTTATATCAAATCTGTAAATAAAATTGTACTTCTCTCTATTGTTCCGGAATGTTTTGTCTTACATAATATTATAGATTTCATATGTTCCTCCTATAGCTTGAATATTTTTGGTAAAAGTTTCCTCTTACATACAGTGACCCATTTAAATCAATCTAGCTTTCACTTTGGTATAGGATGGTGTTTGATTGGTTGCTATGGATTATGGACTACGATTTAAAATGACCCTGTAAAAAAGATGTAAAACGCCTCAAGCAAGCACACACCAAGAAGAATGCCGCCCAACTCCACATATTGCTGAGACATGGTCCATTATGAAACCATTTCTTTCAGGGTTGTGGATCTCTTTGGTTCCCTGCAGCTCTCACTGGTTCCTCCTGCTGACCTCCACATTGTCATAGTCTGCTGTACTTCGGAGGTCAGCAAGAGGAACCAGTAAGCATTGTAGAAGACCCAGGTAAAATTCTTTCTTGCCCACTGAGAAACACAGGAAGGCTGTAACCTTCAGGTTCTATGGCTGCTTACAGGAGGATTGGACACTGGTAAACAAAAACAAAAAATAGTTTAGTATGAGTGAATAAGTGCATACTCCCTGACCACAAAAAATGTCAGTGCATACCAAATATTCTTCTGTGTATTGTACTTCCTAGGGATGCACCGGTACTCATACTCGTGAAAATGCCCTGATACTAAACGTCGATACGCTTTAAATTTTTAAGGGGAAGCAGCTGCCTGAGGTACCAGGCTTGCTGGCCACACATTTCTTCCTTCCTGGGGAGCTGCACCACCCACCCGTGAGACCCCTCACAACCCACCTAACACCCTGCACAGACCTCCTGATATGCCCACCTGAGTCCCCCCTGCATTGCAGTATAATGCATTGCTGGGATTTGTAGTCCTCTATAGTTGGTGGTATTCTGTCTAGCTATAAATTGTGTTGCTGAGATTTGTAGTCCCTCTACAGCATGGAGTCAGTGGTAGAACTACCAGGGTCACAGCGGTTGCAGCTGTGACTGGGCCCTGGCACTCCACCACTGTTCTAAAATCATTAGTCTGTATTGTTTTAGAAAAACTCACATTATACAAAAAAAATCGGTATTGATAATTGGTAGAGTACTTGAGAAACTGTACTGGTGCTTGGTCTTCAAAAAATTGTATCGGTGCATCCCTAGTATTTATAAATAAATTACTATGGGAACAATGCTGTTGAGAGCTTATTATAAAACAATATAAAAAATGCTGAATACCCATACAAAAATACACACATGAAACTAAACATAAGTATTAGGAAATATATTACAAAATGCATGCTTTTCTATCTGTATCCACAGTTAGGTCACAGATATCCATCAGACGCACTATCCCACAATCTTGAAGCTTAGAAAAGTAAACCAACATACGTGGCAAGAAATAAGTTCAATTTAAAAAAATAGTGGGAGCCTCTGCATGTATTACATGCCATCCAGATACACTCATATTGTTCATGTTGTAATAATGCATAACACTTTATTCACTCATCATATGCCTGGAAAAAATATTTATAATGTGTAATAGCAATAGTCTGTACAATAAGATAATCTCAAAAGATGGATCATAGTAGAAACCACTTGGGTATTCATCTCATAATGGATCATACAATCCAGGTGGAACTACAGTAAATAACTCCGCAAGTCTGACAGAAAAGACCCTTTACTTTCCAAGTTGGCTCCTTAGTTTGTAGTGGCATCCACCAGCTTACATGCAGATATATGGCGTTTAGCAATTAGGATCATTCATAGCTCTTGTTTATAAACTTTAATGGTCAACTCCCATATTCACCTCAGCCTCCCAATATATATATTATCTTATAGTGGATCTCCATAGAAGCAATAGATTCCATATGTAGGATAAGTGGGACTAGGGGAGACAGTCTTGTGTGCAGGTGTGTGAAACTTGATAAAAATAAAGATAAAGTATCTGCTGCACCATTTATGGGATGTGTCCTTGTAATACTAGATAGTATAGTGGATTAGCAAAGAAGCAACTAATTCCGAATGTAAGAAAAGTGGGAATATACTGTATAGCTAAGCATGACTACCACGGTCGGTCAGCAAGAGCACTTTGCTTCACAAATCCCTTCCCTAATATACATTGGTATCCACAAGTCATGGCAGATACGTGGAACTAGATAATTATGATCAGTTACTGTATATTCTAATAGCGATAATTATTCACATGGGTTTAGGGGTGAAACAATGGTAATGAATAGCATCAAATAGCTCCTGGTACAAGTCAACTCCAATGTTCGCCACTAACACGCCAAAAGTTCATAAAAACAACAAAGAGGTAAAAGTCATGTCAATATGTCCATGACACCCGATGCAGCATTTATATCATTATAGCCTTAATAGTGCTGTAAACCATAATGGATCACTGTAGTGACAGTATATTGCATATGAATGATGGTACATCACTAAGGCATCCACTAGTCCAAGAAATATGATCATAGTTCCTATACGGAAAGATTGGCAGAAAATAGAAAAAAATTAAGAATTATATAGACACCGGCACTCTAATAGCAAGTCAAATATTGACATATGAGCAGCATAACGTGATACACTCAATGCTACGTTTCGGGGTCTCGCAGGATCCCCATTAGGCACAACATCACTTGTTCTGCATGATGAAGGGGATCCTGCAAAACATTGCATTGAGTGCGTCACGTTATGCTGCTCATACGTCAATAAACAGACGTATTTGACTTGCTATTGGAGTGCCGGTGTCTATATATTTCGTTTGATATTGACCACGCTTGCTAACCGTCGACAGCTGCAGTGCCCACCCTCATTATTTTTGGAGCAGCGGTTACGAGTGCAATGGGTTCATGGGCTTTAACTTGGTAAAGTATAGGCCACGTGTGTAAGGAATAAAGATTTTTTTTAGGTCCACAGGCACTAGCTTTGTTTCAGCGCTTGCCTTGTCTCTAAAAACTCACAAAGTGAGTAGGCCAAAAAAAAAGAGTGCGGGGTTCCCCCCAAAAGTCATACTAGATCCTTTAGGTCTGGTAGGTATTTTAAGGAACAGAAAACAAATATATAATATTCCAAACCAGACCCTTAATCCAGACACTGACTCCCTTCACCATACCATGCCACATGCCCTTGACATGGGGAGGGCTCTTACGCCTTGTCCCTATAGTGATGAGGACAAGGGCCTCTTCCCCACAACCTTGGCCCGGTATTTGTGAGGGTCTGCAGGCAGGGGGCATTAGTTGCATCTGGGTACCCCCTTTCATGGCATTTGGGAACTTCTGAATGCAACTCATCATTTGGGAGCTCCTGAATGCCATTCGGAAACACTTGTTGTTATATGACAGCTGGTCTAGAATGTTAACAAATGGGTGAAACAAGTCCGGTGATGTCACAACTCGCTGCGTCCATTTGTTTATGTTCGGCCCGTAGCTGTCATTTTGCAGCGAGTCTTCGGTGGGTTCGGGCGGGTTGTTGGGCATCTGGACTTTTTTTTTATTTCGATGAAACGGTGGGTGTCGTTCATCACATTCTTGTGGATAAATTTTTAATTTGAGGGAACATTGCAATGAAGGGAGACCTTTGAACACTACAGTGTCACTTACATGAGAGTGGGGTGCATACTAGAAAATGTACAAGAATTGCTGAGCCTATTATTTACTGAGAAATATTGCACAATATAAAAAAGCATTTGTTATTTTTTGTGAGCCTGTATACATATTTGTATACAAATGAGGTCTTTAAAGCCAAAGTCCACCTTTAAAAATAATAATAAATGTACACATATTTGCCTTTTTTTTTATTATTTTGTATTTTTTGCATTTTTGCAAACAAAAACTGTAGGCCAACCAAGGATAAGTAGTACCAAGAGTATGATCATAAACACAGAGGGGGTGGTCCCTCAATAGCCTATAAAAAAAGATTTTAAGGAGCCATTGAAGCTAATAAAGCATTGTAGAGGGAATGATTAAGGACTACTCGGTAGAATTGGTTCAGGATAATGGTATACTTAATGACAATCAGCATGGGTTTAGGAAAGACCGTTCCTGTCAGACTAACCTACTGACTTTTTACGAGGGGGTAAGTAGAGATCTGGATGGAGGGAGGTCTGTGCATGTGGTATATCTTTATTTCTCAAAGGCTTTTGATACGGTACCACACAAACCCCTACTATACAAGCTGAGAGCTATGGGCATAGATGGAAGGGTGTGTAAATGGATAGAGAACTGGCTAAAGGAACGGGAACAGAGAGTATCAATAAATGGCGCCCTTTCAGACTGGGCTAGTGTCATTAGCGGTGTGCCTCAGGGTTCTGTGCTGGGACCCATGCTTTTCAACCTGTTTATTAACGACATCGGGGACGGAGTAAACAGCGATATCTCAGTGTTTGCTGACGATACCAAAATTGGGAGGGTAATAGAAACAATGGACTTATGTCTTTATTCAACCTCAAATACTATGTAACTATGTAACCGTAAACAGTGGTTTTAACATAAAGCCAAGAAAAAAGGTAATTATCCCCTAGGACTGTAGAAAGAACAAGCATCAACATACTGCATGTATATCTTTAGCTGATAAATATAAAACAACATACCCTTTTAGCGCTATAAACCATTAAGCATACTTGAAGCAGAACTTCAGGCAGAATCTTTCTTAACCCTTGCAGTGGGGCTACTCAAGCACTGCAAGGGTTAAGTGCTCGTTTGTGTCTAGGTGCTATAGAGAAAAAAAAAGTTATACTCACCTGATCCTCAGAGCTGGCTTGCTCTTAGACTGGTGCCTGGAGCCTCTTTCCCCCTTTGCTGCAGTGATCTAAGGTCCCTAAGTCATCAGGTTCTATACACAGTGTAAGGACGCAGAGGAACATTGC